TTTATTACAATGAAACTTGAGGGAAGGGTGAAGAAAAATGCTCCCATCTTCCCCATAACAAAAATATCTAGAGACCTTTTTAAACCACATTTTCTCACTGTCTACCACATCCATTCCTTAAAGAGACTCTACCTCCAAAGACATTGCTAAGACCAAAGCATACCTGGTACATGTGCTAGAAAATGATTTGAGAAACGCTGATTGTAAAGAACAAATCAAACAGTAATGTGTTCTCCAGTGCCCAGCTGAATGAGCACAGCCTTTTCAACTTCTGACCCCATTCCCTGTGTTGAGGAATTAGGTCACAGCACAGAAGGAAGAAGCAGGTCATGCTCAGCATTCACCCTCCAGCAAAACATTCACTTATCTGCATCACAGCTTAATCCCAGAGAAGTAGATGGGGCACTGATGCGAAACAGGAGGTGTCAATTGCTTCAGGAGTTGTTCCCGGAGATGCCCAGGCAGGCAGTTTTACCAATGATGTTAGTTGGACTGTCCAGAAGTAGTCAGGCAGAGAAACAAATAGTACTTTTGTCCTGCCTCAAAAATGACAACGAATCCAATTCCTATAGCAATGTTTCCATTTCTTATGCTGGCTCCATAGGGCTTTCTATGACTCATCTCCGATCAGAAACTCCAAAGAAGTTTTTCTCTATTTTGCAATGGCCTTCACAATAGTCACTATCCCTACAGAGGCTTAATTTGCAGACCTGCTTTAGAAACTATGGAAGACAGGGATACTTGCTCATCTTAAAGGGCCTACTGAGATACCTTTGCTCCAGTAACCATTAACACAAGACAGTAATTCCTCAGCTTCGCAAACCAGGGCTCTTTGTCCCTGCACCTAAGCTTGTACCTTCAGAGATGAGCTCATGAAGCAGACCCAGTCTTCCCAGTGACTGTGACTAATCGTGTTTGAATGAAACAACCTATTAAGGGTATTAACTGTTTCAAAACTTTTCTTATATGTGTGCTATTAAGCTATGATTTAAAACTTATTTCCTACTGTGGAGTGTAACATAAAGTTTGAAAGCTACTGCCCACATCCACCTGTAGGGGTACTTCAGGTATCTGAGCAGGGAAGGCACAGAAAAGCACAGGGCTGTCTGGAATTCACACACCACAAAGTCTAGCTACCCATAAGGATGATGCCATCATATTAACTGGGCAATTCCTTAACAAGTTCAACTCTTTTGGCCAGTGCAATTGGAAGGTAGTAAGTAAGTGTGAAAGCTACTGCCCACATCCACCTGTAGGGGTACTTCAGGTATCTGAGCAGGGAAGGCACAGAAAAGCACAGGGCTGTCTGGAATTCACACACCACAAAGTCTAGCTACCCATAAGGATGATGCCATCATATTAACTGGGCAATTCCTTAACAAGTTCAACTCTTTTGGCCAGTGCAATTGGAGGGTAGTAAGTGAAGGCTGGAATAAGGCTGAAGAGGAAGGAAGGAACCAGACAACATACTCGCTTGTAGAGAGTGTTAAGGAGTTTATATAAGATATAATGTGTAAATGAATAAAAAGGGGCTAGAGAGATGTCCAACAAATTCTAATGAGTAAAAAAGTGGTAGTAAAGAGAGTTTTGGCACTTTGTGTTGTCTATTTTCTGTTTTGTTTCAACTTTTTTCTAATGAACATATGATATATTGCTTTTTTTTTTTTTTTAAAGAATTCCTATTAAATAACCCCTTAAATCTGAGGCCAGGCATGGGCTGGAGGAAAAATTCCTTCCTTTTCATGGTAGTGTCCCAAGTTTGGTGGCAAAAAAAAAAAAAAAATAAGGCTTCTCTATATTCTGAGCATTCTTTTGGGCCTCTTGCACCTTTTGTAAAGAAAGACGAAAGACGTACCCCCTGAAAGGCCCCACCTTTTCTCAGTCAGGCTAAATCATTCCTTGTGGCAGCCTCGGGTCTCCTACAGTCCACCCCTGCTCTGGATGGAGTCTTAACTTTAAATCAACAACCAACTTGAGTCTCAATCCCTTCCTATTACCTTCAACAGATTCTTCTACCCCTCTAACAGGATAACTTATCCAATGCTTTTATAGCCCTTTTTTCATCTCCAAACTGTACCCCCACCTACAAGAGCCACCCTGCCACTTCTATGTAACAATACTACTTTCTTACCACCAGGCCAGCAAATCTTCAGAGCCCCAATTCTTCCAGGAATTTTTCTCAGCATCAGCTAACGGGCATCCTGAACAGGGATCCCTTAACTCTCTCTTTGCTTTTTCTTGCACACAACTTTTACATTTGCCATCCTCTCTTAAAGTATGAGCTTCCCAAAGGTAAGAATCATAGTAATCTCAATTTGTAGAGTGCCTAAATTTGGCCACACATGAAGCGATATTCAGCAGTTTTTGGTGCTGACAATTCAACTGTTAAATATACGTACTCGTAAATGCTAGATATAAGTGATGACGTAAGAAAGAACTGGCTTCTTGACTTAGTTTTGGAAAAGCATTGGCAGTATGTTGACACTACATTCATAGAGAATTCTTAAGTACAAAACAAGAAGGGCTTGGAAGCAGCTGACTATATTGTCCCTAAGTTCCCTATGCATTGTAGGCCTTAGAGAAATGGCAAGCTGGGTAGAGATGGGTAGCAGAGCTAGATTGAGCCAAGCCAGGTCAAGCAGAACGGGTCCTCTTCTACGTTTCCCAGGGACAGGCACTGCTATGAAAAGCCCAGTTTTTGTCTCTAAGCTACTATTCAATCTCACTCATTTCTGTTCAAGTAGAGAAACAATAGCAGAATCCAGTAATCTGCCAAGGGTATCATGGAAGGCTTGGGAATTTCAGCTTAATGGTTTTTCTGCTCATCCTTAAAAATTTTACTAAGCATTATTAAGCATGGTGTTCTATAAAAATCACAACAGGTATTTACAGGCCAAGGCTTATAGTGCTCAACACAAAAGGCAAGGACATACACTGCACGAGCTGTACTGAAGTCACAGGACTGAGGTTCTGGGGAGCCGTTTTACCTCTCTTCTTATACCAAAAGGTTTCTAGAATATCAGGGACCAATTCTATGACAGAAAGAAGGATTCTTGGTGATAGAAGTTCCACATTCCAAAAAGAGATAAACACCAGTACAACCGGGAAATTGAACAGGGGTCAGTTTGGGAAAAATCTAAGTGTGGTCATTTGGAGCTCCTGGTGAAGGTTTTTATCACCGGACAGAACCCTGGTTCTGATCCCCAGTTCTGTGGATGCCAACCAAAACTCATGGTAGCTTTGGCAGGAGGATGGATTATGAGAGGAAAGGAAGCAAGCAACCACCTAGCAGAACAGCTAACATTTGCTGAGTGCTGACTACATGCTGGACACTTTATATATATTAGTTCATTTAATCCCCTCTAAACAGACTGAGGGCGAGAAACTTAATAACATGCTCAAAGTCACACACCTAGTAAGTAGCAGGGCTGAATTATATACTTAGGCGTTCAGCATGGCTCTCCAGAGCCTTTACTCTCAGCTGTTCTACTATGCTGCGTCTGTACAGAAGATAAAAATGACTTCAGAAAGAGTTAATGCTGAAGAGAGAGTGAAAAAAGACAGCACTGAAGGTATGAACTGGAGAGGGTGTACAGATTAACACCAGGTTCTTTCTATCTTGGGTACAAGCTGGATTCATAGGCTTTTGGTGAACACCTTATAGGTGTTTGGACAGGGAGAAGCTGCAGGAAGCTGCAGGAAGCTGCAGGAAGAAAAAACCCCAGAGAACTGAATTGGACTAATAAGCTAAAATGAATGAGTGACTGCCAAGTGCACAGAAGACAACAGTTCACTCAAAGCAGTATCTCAGCCAGGGTTTTGCCTCAAACACCTGGCCCTGTTTAACGGCAACTCGAGAGATACCACGGAGGCTTGGGACTCATGGAAGGTACCTGGAGTTATGAGATGGAGGAAAGGGATGCGTGGAAGGTCAGGATTCATCAAGCCAACTAATCAAAAAAATGAGACTCAGAGTTAGGTGGCCAATTAGAAAAGCCTGGTCTAATGTCAAAGCCGGAAGGGCAGAAAGGGTCGGAGTTTGAGGCCGGGTCTTCCCACCTCTTATGCAGCATTGCCATCTGCCCTGCCCATTCTCTTGGCTGAGGAGTTGCACCCCAATAAGCAGCTGGGCATGGTACATTCAGTGGGCATTAAACATGTGTTTACTGAATGAATGAATGAAAGTATGAGCAGAGGGGCCTCTTTCCATTTATGCAGCAACGCGCAGGCTGGGCACAGCAAGACCACAGTTGAGACCTTGCGCTCTATCCCATTCTAGGAAGGACACATCTTTACATCCGCATCTCCCAGGGCAGCCAGGGCTTCCAAGTCTGGCCGCCGATCGCGTATGCACGCTCAATACGCACTCGTTTAAAACAGGTCACGATTGTGGGGGGCTCCAAAAAGCGGGCACCCGACGCGGGTTTGCAGCCCCGAAGCACCCTGGAACTTGTAGTCCCCAGCCAGCCTGACCATAGCATCCCCTCGAGTCCCACATAACCATCGCCAAGGGCCCCTGCTCTGTGCCAGAACCGAGGCAGGCCGCGGCAGGCCGGGGTCGCCCATAAATAGGCGATCGGGGCGAGGACAGAATCAGTAGGCAGGGGAAGGCCCTACTGGGCGAGTTCCGACCACGCAGCCCCAGCCACAGGCCAGAAGGGAGCGGATGGCGAAGGATCCGCGAGATACCACTCACCATCATTTTGGAAGCTTAATCAGTGGCCCGCTACTCCTCTGAGCTCCGTGTCTGGGCCGCCCAGCAACCCCACAATTCCTTGCGCCAGAGAAATCCCCAGAAGCTTCGCTGAACGGTTAGACCTACAGAGGAAAAGGACGGGCCACTTCCGTCACTCTATGGTTCCCTACCACAGAGTCGGCGTGGCTAGAAGGGCCAGAGGCAGAGCCTCTGAGGGCGCTCTTGAGAGAGGCGTTGGTTATCGAAGATTCGCCAAATTTCGGTCGTGCTTTTCTGTGAGCATGTAGGATACCTGCTCGGTCCGCGACATCTACTAATCCTAATTCCACCCCCACTCTCCACTCCCCAAGATGCCAGACCAAGGACTGCAATAAGTGTAAACATTTATTGAACGCTGTGGGGGCAAGCTTATGCTAAGCAAACTCTTAACGTGAGTGATCTCATTTAATGCTCACAACCCTATGGCCTTGGTTATCATGCTCATTTTACAGATATGAGAACTGAGGCCGAGAGGTTAGGAAATGTGGCCAAAGTCACAGTTACACGGAAAGTGGTAGAGAAGCTGGCGTGGGCACCTGGCACAATGCCCGCTTTCTACTGCACTGGCCAGAGCCTCCTCCAGGGTGGGATGCATCCAGCCGCGTCCCCAGCGCCTATCACTGTAACCGCGCAAGCGCGGGTGGAACTGGGCAGAAGATGAGCAGGGCGGAGGTCTCAGGAGATGTGGACGCTAGACGAATACTTGCCCAAGAAGCGAGTGGGGAGGAGGAAAGGGCAGGGGGAAGAAAGGAAAATCACTGTCGTGCGAGGCGGCTGAGGGGAGAATCACGCCGAGACCGCAAGAGTGGACGGCAACTGAAGCGAGTCTTGCGAGGAAACCACTTCCAATTCCCTGTGCTTCCCCGCCAGCTCGCCCACCAGGCCGCGAGGTCCTGGACCGTCGCAAGGAAATACTAGGGCGGGGCTGGGGTGCGGGCCGGCAGTTGCTGTTAAGAGTTTAGACAAATCAGCCCTCGGCCTCACTTCTCTTGACCAATAGGAAGTGGGCTAAGGCGCAGAGCGGAAAGTGTGGCTACATAGCAGGCACCAGAGCCAATCAGAGTGGGGCTCGCTTCCATCCGCCAACCAGAGGCGAGAGCGGGTCTGGGGGCGGGAGGCCAGAGCAGCTGTCAGGCTAAAGTCCGGCGAGCAACGCGCGGCAGGGCGGCTGGAGGAAGCGGCTCCTAGCCGGTCCCTGGAGATGGTCCTCGGCGCCGCGGGCTGGTGGTGTCTCCTGCTCTGGCTCCCTGCATGCGTCGCGGCTCACGGTGAGTGGCAACGGGCGGGGCTGTATTGCGGGACGGGCCATGCAGCTTGCGCGCGGCTCGGGCCAGGGGCTACAGGTCACCTTGGGGACCCTGAGAGTTCGGGGCAGGGCAGGTCCGGGGACGGGAGGCTGGAGTGGATGGATGCTGGTTTTCAGGGACTTGAGTAGGGTGCGGCCTGCGGCTGGGCTCTGAGTCCTCATTTCCCCACGTCGAAGCAAGACTTTCCCCTACTCCCACTAACGCCTACCCAGGTGGCTGAGGGAGCGACCAAGAGGAGGAACAAGGGAGAACTAGAGACCCTACAAGCTGGATGTGAACACTCACATATACTGGAACACACATTCCTACACATGGGCTCACACACACAAGCACAGACGTACACACACAACCTGTTTGCACCTACACGGGTACAGAAACTTATACAACCATATACACATGTATACCACGCTTAATTTACATAGATCATCAGATACAAAGGCCAGGCAGATATGTGTGGGGAGGAGGGGGAGTTTAGTGATAATCTAGGAAGGCTTCCTGGGAGTGCATCTGATGTAAAGTCCTCACTACCAGGATAAAAGGCTGTATAGCCTGGTGCCAAGGCAGTGGAGCTCTACCTGGGGCTATGATTTGGGCAGTAGACAAGGACAACTAAAACTACAAACAGCCCCAACCCTGGCACACAGTAGTGGTTTGGTGTTTTGTTGATTGACTACACATTCCTCAGTCTCTCTGGGCTAAGGAAACCAGGGACTCAAGTCTAGGTGAAACATTACATTTTGGTGCTGAAGAGAAGTTCCCACACCCCAGAACAATCTTGTTCTGACAATTCTCTCCATCAGTGCAACAGAGCTGCAAATAGTTGTTTTTCACTTAACAACCTTTACTGTGCACCCACTTTATCCTAGCCACTATGTTAGGTAGTGTGGATACAGCATTGAATGAAGACTTACCCTTGCCCTAGTAGAGGAGACAGACATTAAACAAAAAATTATGAATACTGTATAATTACAAATTATATTGAAATTGTCAATGGAGAAAAAGTACATTTTGAATGGGCATAAAAGGAGGGCAGTCATAGGGCAGGTTTCTCTGAGAAAGTGACATTTAAGCTGCGATCTAACACGAGTAGGAGTGAGCCAAGTAAAGAGGTAGAGGTGAGGTAGGGTGCAGGTAGGAATTCTCCCAGAGAGAGCAAACAGCTTGTAAGAAGACTCAGAGTGAAGAAACTGAAAGGAGGCCAGTGTAGCTTGAATAGAGAAAGGAGATGAGGTTGGAGTAACAGGCAAGGGACAGATGGAGCAGGGCCTTGCAGGCCACAATTAAGAGTAGATTTTAAGTGAAAGGGATGTCATTGAAGGGTATTGAAGCCATGGGAGTGGTGACATGATATTTGCTGTAAGATGTTTTAAGAAGATCCTTGGCTATTGTTTGGGGAATGGACCTTAAGGAGCAAGAATGGAGATGGAAGACCAGTCAGGACAGAAATGATAGTGGTGGACTAGGAGGATGGCAGTGGGACCAGAGAGTCAACTTTTACATTTTAGTGAGAATTTTGTACCCAGAATATCACATCTCCACCTTGAAACGCTCAGGTCCACTTCAGAACAAAGATGGATTAATCCTCAGAGAGATAGCAGTAGAGCTAAGATGGATTATCCCTGAGAGAGCTAACACTAGAGCACTTGGTCTTCCTGGCTCACCTCTGTAAGCAGCAGCAGCTATAAATTTGGGGTGTTACTAACTGTGCATCAACTCTATCCTCCCCAGGGCTGGGACCATCTACCTCACCCACCTGGAGGACCCATTTGGCTGAAGCTGGGTCCCTGGGCCCAGACTATTGCCAGCCCAATTGAAGACACAGGGTTCATGGAGGCTTCTGATCTGTATTCTTTACCTTTCAGGATTACGTATCCATGATTATTTGTACTTCCAAGTGCTGAGTCCTGGAGACATTCGATATATTTTCACAGCTACGCCTGCAAAGGACTTTGGTGGTATCTTTGTAAGTTCAGGGAGAGCCCCTCATCTCTGATCCTATCTCCATCTTTCCCCCACTAAGCCAAGGTAACCCTCTCATCCCTTTGACCAATACTTTGAAAAGGGAGCAGAATCCAGTTCTGCCCTCTAGGGTCTGCAGTGCAGGAAGGGCTTCCAGCTATTTCCCTGGGCATAATATAGACCTGGACACCAGTGGGACCAGCTATCTTTGGGAACATGAAATAGTGAAAAACCAAGGGCCCTGCCAGTTCTACTGCTGAATGACATGACTTAAGGCAAATTATTTTCCATCTCTGGGTCCACACCAACTACCCTGCCTATCTTGTGAAAAGGTAGGGTAGGGTGGGACAACTAGATAAGCTTTTGCGAGGATGTAGTTTCCAGCAAACAGAAACCACTCCTTTCCTTCTCACCTTTGTGAGGAGCTGATAAGATGGGATTGTCAGCCTGGTCCTAAAGCAGGCGCATCTCCTCATAGTCTAACCTGTCTAAATGTCTTTCAGCACACAAGGTATGAGCAGATTCATCTTGTCCCTGCGGAACCTTCAGAGGCCTGTGGAGAACTCAGCAACGGTTTCTTCATCCAGGACCAGATTGCTCTGGTGGAGAGGGGGTGAGGAGCAGATAGGCACTGGCACAAGGGGAGGGTAGGCACAGGGTAGATACTGAGATCAGTTGTGGTGGTGATGCTTTGAAATAGTTTTAAAATATTTCATCGTTTTAAGCGTCTTTAAGAAATGTCTTAAGATTATCCGTGCCTTTTGGCCATTTATTTATGAGCCTTTATTAAAAACTATCCATGGTCTTTTTTCATTCTAGGGTGACAGCCTAGGGAGGGGTAGCTAGGGCCCTGCCTTTCCTTTGGTCTCATCACTACCTCTTCCAGGGGCTGCTCCTTCCTCTCCAAGACCCGGGTGGTTCAGGAGCACGGCGGGCGGGCAGTGATCATCTCTGACAACGCAGTTGACAATGACAGCTTCTACGTGGAGATGATCCAGGACAGTACCCAGCGCACGGCTGACATCCCTGCCCTCTTCCTACTCGGCCGAGATGGGTGAGGGCTCCTTGATTCTGGCTGTCAGCACCAGTCTGGGTGCCATGACTCGGGGAGGTCAAGGGGGCAAACACCAGTCCCGACCCACAAGCCTCATCTTGGGGTGCCCTAGCTGGGAGTTTTAGGCTCTGAAACTCCCAGTGATGGGGACAGTAGGGCATGATGGGATCCAGAGAAAGTGACCATGGCCACCTCTCTTCATGCCCTCCCAGCTACATGATCCGCCGCTCCCTGGAACAGCATGGGCTGCCATGGGCCATCATTTCCATCCCAGTCAATGTCACGAGCATCCCCACCTTTGAGCTGCTGCAACCACCCTGGACCTTCTGGTAGAAGAGTTGGTTCCACCTTCCAGCCATAAACTCTGGGCTGGAAAGGGGAAATCCAGGAATTCTGCTGTTTGGGACTTGGGAGTAGCACTTGGGGACAGGTGGAGCCAGGGAGAGAAAAAAGGCTTGGGCTTTGGCTAGGCTAAGGGAAGCCATACCAGTGATTTCATTTCCCCAGGGCCCCCAAGGGTGTCTCATGCTATGAGAAAGGGCAAGAGCCAGGCCCCAGGGCTTCTTGGCTAGAATCTGGAACAAAAGGGGCTAAAGGCAGGTGGCCTGAGAGCCATCTGTGACCTGTCACATTCCACCTGGCTCCAGCCTCCCCCACCCAGGACATCTCTTAGTGTCCTTCATAGCAGTTGCTAGACTGGTTTAAAGAGCTGGTGTTTGAGAACTTAATAAACCCTCACTGACTTTTTAGCAATAAAGGCTCTCATCAGGGTTGTAACTGTGTCCTAGAATAAGAGCACACAAGGGTGGGAGAGGCCTTCAAACTCATTCATCTGGTCTCATGTCCTTGTGTTGAGGGGAAGAAATTAAGGCCCTGAGAGGATTAATGACTTGTCCAAGGTCTTTCAGGATCAGTCCTCAGACTGATAATCTTGGATCCCAACACAGCCTCCTTCTTAAGATCTCAGGAGCTGTAGTTTAGTCCACTGAGGAGAAGACTCACCTTGCTGCCTGGTGCTAGGGATCCCCACTGGACCACTGAAGACCCTTGCTCTAGGGCTTAGAAACATTAGCACATCAGAGTGTAGATGAGACCAGAGATGAGCCCAGACTGGGGAGCTGAGCTCCCATGTCCTGCCATTACCTGGTCTACCCTATGCGCCTTTGTGCCACCTACGTGACTGCTGCATG